GAGCGGGGTCGCGGCCCGGCCGGGGGTAGGTGGGTGTGAGCGCGAAGCCCGGCGCCTGCACAGCTGCGCCGACCCTTATTCCCCGGCGCCCCGCCCGTCCCCCGCTCCGGGATAATCCATCATCTGTGGCCCGAAAACCTCATTTCTCACGTTCTTCCAAAGAAATCCAAGTCTCGGGGCGGAATCCCAGCTCGGCGCGGCGCCCTCTCTGGTCCTGTGTGTTCACACCACATTGCGGGACGGGGTGAGGGGCGCGGGGGCTGGGGCCGGGAACTGTCCTCAGCGCAAGGGCACTCACGCCTTCGGGCTGCCGGCGGCGCCTGTGACGTGTCCGGGGGGGACAGTCTAGTTTCCAATCTTCGGGATAGTTCGGAGCAGAACGGTCCCCGAGGAGGGGCGTGGATGCAGGGAGGTTTTAAAGAGCATTTCATCAGAATGCAGAGGGCACCGCCTCGTGTCCCCTGAGAACAGAGTCTACTGTGCGCCTTCCATTCATCCGGGGAGTCGATCTCTTCTCTTCCCAGCAGGTGTTATCTGGAGTCGGTCCGGACGTCTGGGAAGTTTCGGTTACAATTTTGACTGTAACAAATGATTTTTGATGAAGCGATGGCTCGAATGAACCAGATTTCATGCACTCTGGACCCAGCTGAGGAGCCCTGGTGGCGCAGTGCTTAAACTCTCAGCTGCTAACCAAAACGGTCGATGGTTCGAACCCACGAGAGAAAATTGAGGCAGCTTGCTTCCGTATAGAATAACAGCCTTGAAAACCCTATGGGACAGTTCTACCCTGTCTTATTGGGTCGCTTTGACTCGGAGTCAACTCCACGGCAGTAAGTTTGGTTTTGGTTCTGGGGACACAGCTGAGGGCTGGCAGAGGCGGGCAGGGTGGGGGGTGGGGAGCGCGGTGGTGAGAGATCCTGTGTGGTTCGCTGCAGATCGCTGGTGCTGCCTTGCCCGCGGGGTTAGGATGTGGTGAAAGGATGGGGCTACTCCCTCCCCGGGCTCACAATGGCCAGAGAAGATTCCGTCAAGTGCCTGCGCTGCCTGCTGTACGCCCTCAATCTGCTCTTTTGGGTAAGTCATACAGTTTCTGTGCCCCAACAGGTGGGGACGGCTGGACCCGGTTTACTGCAGCCACCAGATAATGCGCCAAAGGGCATGGCTCAGCATGAATTAATTACATGGGATCACACCTTCCATTTTTCAGAGAAGTCAATTTTGACCTTCTTAAAATGCCTTTGATCTAGCTCAAGTTCCACTTGTAATTGGAAAAAAGAAATCCGCTACTGGATGCTAGTGGCAGTAAAATTAGACTTGGAGTTAATCTCGGGATATAAATAAATGCACGTGCTTGTGCTTGTAGATAAAAAATCATGACATACTACTTAGGGAACTGCTTGTTTTCAGGAATTTCAGATAACTGTACAAGCCATAATTTTTTTCTTTACATCATCTTAGCCTATAAAATCTGGTTGGGGTAAGCAGTCTTAGCATGCTTTTGCAGGGATCTGTACCCAGATATCCTATCAAAAGGGAGAGTACATTTTTCTAGGGATTCCATACAGTCTGAAAAGGTGGTTTTCATGTGACTGCTTCCAAGTTGGCAAAGTTTTAGGGAATTTTCTGTATGCTTTTGGAAAAATCCCATCACCTTCATTTAAGGAAATAAAATACATAAAATTTAACAAGCTCATGGAAATCTTTATGTCTGCCTCATGAACTAGTGACTTTTTATGCTCTATGCCCAGGCATAAATTTTCATTAAATGTTATTATTAATTATATTAATATTTATAAAATTGATGACGAAAATCTAAAAGGTGAAACTTTGAAAGTGGCTTTAGGAAGCTGTCATGCTTGAACAGATTTTTCTTTTTTTTTAAAATTACATTTTGTGTTCTGTTAATGATTTATATTCAAAATGTTCTGTGAGAAATTTTAACGTGCAGTTTATTTATTTGGCTGGCTGGCTGGTGTTTCTCACTGCCGTCAAGTTGGATCCAACTCATAGCAATCCCTCCTTGGGTTTTCGAGGCGGTATGTCTATGGAAATAGATTCCCAGTCTTCCTTCCAAGAACCACCAGCCTTATGGTTAGCAGTCAGATGCCTTAGGCAGTATGGCTGGCTGGCTGGTGTTGACCAGCCTTTTTTCAGAGGTCTTTGCATGTGATCTCTACATCAGGACAACTTGGTAAAGCAGCTCCTTATGGATGGCACCATTTTAGGGTGACAGTTTAAGCCTTACTACGCTATGAGTCGGGGCCGACTCGACAGCACATAACAACAACAACAACAACAACAACAACA